ATTTTGTGCTTTAAACCTTCATATAAATGTACAATGTGACCTGGTTACATTGCTGTAAGAAACATAACTTTGAATTTCCTCATTTTTTAAATTTAAAATCTTATTGATAAGGTTTCATTTCTTAGACGGTAAACTCTTTGGAACAGGGACCATCTTTTATTCTGTGTTTGTACAGCGCATAGCACAGCAAGGTCCTGGTCCATGAGTAGCGCACCTGAGCCCTATGATAATACACATAATAAATAATAAAAAATAATAGTAATTCATGAACCCTCATTTTTTGCATTTCATTTTCTCGGCTACATATTAATGAACATGTATTTATATGAATGTGCAACAAACAGCTCAGTAGGCTTAACTGATTGCATCATCCCAGGTCTGTCAAATGCACTTAGTGCAATTATGCTGTAAATGCACTGAGTGCATTTATTTGAACTTTCTTACATGTACATGGGATCACACATTCAGATGAACACAGCTGTGTTTATTTCAGATTGTACAACTCCAGATTGTATGTGTATGTCTGGAGCTAGTGGACTGCACATTCATGGTACGGGATTTTCAAACACTTATAACTTCATTATTTGTCAGACAAATGTCTTAAAATATGTCCAACATACTTTTTTGCATTTAATGTTAGAGGTCAGTAAAAATATGAAAAAAACTCTTTTTATAATTTATTTGAAAATATTGTGAAATTTTTGAATAAATTATTCACCAAATACTATTCAGACAGCTCTGATTAATATTAAGGACCCTATTCTGACTTTGGGTAGGCACATCAAATCTCCATTAAAGACAAATGATTTGACTGATCTTTCACTTCACCATTTTTTACACAGAAACCACTATTTGGAGTTACTCCAGAATTACAGATTTCAGAGTAGCAGCTGTGTTAGTCTGTATTCGCAAAAAGAAAAGAAGTACTTGTGGCATCTTAGAGACTAACAAATTTATTTGAGCATAAGCTTTCGTGAGCTACAGCTCACTTCATCGGATGCATTCAGTGGAAAATACAGTGGGGAGATTTATATACATAGAGAACATGAAACAATGGGTGTTACCATACACACTTTAATGAGAGTGATCACTTAAGGTGAGCTATTGCCAGAGGAGAGCGGGGGGCACTCTCGTTACAGTGTGTATGGTAAAACCCATTGTTTCATGTTCTCTATGTATATAAATCTCCCCGTTGTATTTTCCACTGAATGCATCCGATGAAGTGAGCTATAGCTCACGAAAGCTTATGCCCAAATAAATTGGTTAGTCTCCAAGGTGCCACTCCTTTTCTTTTTCCAGAATTACAATGATCCGCTCACTAAGAGCCTGATCTTGCCAGTAGTTATGCATGCAAGTAACTTTACTCAGGTAAATTGTCCCATTGACTTGAGTGTTTGCAGAACTGGGCCTTAAGACTTCCTAAATGAAGTTCCCTTTGATGCAATACCCATAGCAAAATCAGGGCATTGTAAGGGATGTTTTATTACCCTGTATTGAAGGAATGATAGCACCACCCACCACTTTTAATAAAACAGCCTTAGTGGTAACTTAAGCCTTGATTCTGCAAAGACCTGAATTCGGGAGTTCAATGAGAACTACTCACCTGCTTAAAGTTAAGCATATGCATAAATCTTTGCAGGATTGGTGCTCATGATAAGAAATGCACACACATCTGAAGCGTGAATACAGTCCTACAGCCACAAACCTTGCAAACTTTTTATG